TAGGAGGACAAATAAATACCATCACTTTGTGTCCACTGCACACAAATCATAATCTCATAATGTGTGATAGAGGAACTTGTGTTAGAGAACTACACTGTACAAGATTTCAGATAGCAGAGCTGGTTGGAAATGGTTGCTTCCTCAGCCACGCCTCTAATGATGTCACAGTGCTGATTGACAGTCCAGTTTGGTGAGGTACTGAACCATGAAATCAAGTTGATCCCTACCTAGACTTCTGACCTCAAACATTTGGAGATTAATAAATATGTAATATTTCAAAATGCTAAACTTGCGGAATTTGTGACGCATCATAGAAAATCCTTACAGATCCTATGTGCAAAACCCATGTTTCTAGACTTGCGCATAGCTGCCACTCCTGACACTGGGGCTGTTCTGCTCACATACTCATTGTGTCATAGCTGATGACATTGGGTGTTTGTTTAACTGATTGACCAATTGGTGCTGTTTTTGTAATGGATGCACTCTGGCATCAACCTGAGAAACTTAAGTTTTCAAACTTTATGGCCAGAAACTTCCTGAATTTCACTGGTCCCAAACTTTTTTCTTTCCAGGACCAATATTCAAATGTTTCACCACTGTCTATGAGCTCATTTTTATTTTAAAATGGGGTTCTTTTGTTTCCATACAAAGTGAAGGGCCTGCCCAGCTTATCCATTAAGATTTTCCTCATCCCTGGCTTACAGGGCAAGCCAAGAGGAGTAGTATAGAACTGTGGCAACCTTTTTCTCAATCACCTAGTCTCCGTGTGGCCTTAGGCATGGGCTGAGCAGGATATTCTGATATCATAGTGGACTCATAGAGATATGTCCTACCTACTCAATGAGCTTGACCATGTCTTCTTGTCCTGCCAGGTCCCCTCCACTAATCAGTCACTTCCATCTTACAGTGGATTTCTTCTAGGCCTTGGGGGAACTAACAGTTTCAAATTCATGATGAGCATTGCTGGTATTCTGAGATACACAAGTAAGACTTTTCCATTTGCATTAGAAGAATGTCCTGACCAATGCCCCTGGCTGCTAGACCACTAACTCTTCACTGAGTAGCTGCTTCCCCTCTGGAGCACATGTGACTTACAATATTTACCATATGTTTGCCCGTTTTTGTTTATGTAGTTTGATGTCATAGCAAAGTGGATGACTATGATGCTCAGTCCTTGGTCTTTATTATGAGAACAGGAAAGTTAACATGACACCGAAAAAAGATGTAGATGTGTGCTGTGGTCCATTCTATAGAAGGGAAAACTGTTCCAATGCATCTTCCTGATATGTATTTTAAAAGTTATGAGATCATCCTCTAATTTCATGCACTTGCTGCCACCTATATGAACACATCTGATCTAACAAAGCTGCCATATTAGGTGCAGCCCTGCAATTATTTTCTTGGTGGTGTTTCCATTGGCCCATTGTCTTTCTCTGTGATTAGTTTGGTGCTTGCAATGATCAGAATAGTGAGTCAAACAAGACTGCAACAAGAGAGAATGGATAGAGATGGCTCAGCAGTCAAGATTCTCTTCCAAACTTTCCGTCCCAGGCCCCACAACAGGCAGTTCACAGCTGTCTATAACTCCAGCTCCAAAGGATCTGATACCTCTCCAGCCTCCACAAATAATTTGTTTAATTTTCAATTCTTTACTTGTTAGTTAAATATTAATATTAAATTAAGTAATACTAAATATTATTCAATGATGATAACTTAATTTTATTTAAATACTAAATAATAAATTTTAATATATAAATTTATTTATTTAAAAATAAATATTATTAAGACTATACAAGATACCAGGTTGTGGTGACTCACACCTTTAGTCCCAGGTGGATCTCTGAATTTGAAGCCAATAAGTTCTAGTACAACAAGGACTACACAGAGAAACCCTGTCTTGAAGAAATCACAAGAATACCCTCAGAAACAACTAACCTGGCTCACAGGAACTCACAGAGTCTGAGCCAACAACCAGGGAGCCTACATGGGATGAACCTAAGCCCTCTACATGTATTTGACAGTTGTGTATCTTGAGCTATTTGTGGGACTCCTAACAATGGGAGCAAAGGTTGTTTCTAACATTTTGGCTGGCTCTTGGGAACCTATTCCTCATACTGGATTTCCTTGCCCAGTCTAAACACAAGAAGAGGTACTTAGTCTTACTGCAACTTGATATGCCATGCTTTATTGATACCCTTGGAAGGCCTGCCCCTTTCTGAACAAAAACACAAAAGAAGTAGATTGGGTAGGGGAGGGAATGGGAGGAGAGAAGGGAGGGAAACTATAATTGGTAAGATAAATAATTCACTAAATTTTTTAATTTTGGTTTTTTTGAGAGAGTGTTTTTCTGTAGCATTGGAACCTGCCCTGAAACTCACTCTATAGGCCAGGCTGACCTCGAACTCATAGATATCCACCTACTTCTGCCCCCTGAGTGCTGGGACTAAAGGCATGCACCACCACTGCCCAGCTTAAATAAAAATTTAAAAAAGGAAAATTTTAAGGAAGAGAAAAATGTTATTATCAGTATGGCAGTTTTATTTAGAGGGAAAACAAACATAAAATGTGAAGATAACAAAATTAGATTCTTTACAGTTAATCTGGAAGCCATGTACCCGATTCTTAACATCACACCATTGCAAAGAGAAAGTGAAAGGTGGGCTCTATAATTCACTTTTTCTACATCAAACAGTTCAAGGTGGATCTTTCAATGTATACTTTGCTTAAGATCTGTCATTTCCATATGATTCCAAGTTAGGTATACTAAGGACTGAACATCAGAAAGTAAGTATCTTAACATGAATGTGGATGAGCAAAAGACTGTTTGCAGTTAATTGTTTGATTCTGTGTTTAAGATTTCTTGATATTTATGGATTGAGTGTTTTATCTTCTGCAAACATTGTTTTGAAAGAAACAATGGGTTCATCACAGCACCATTGATGTTTGTGCAATCTTATAACAGTCATGTAGTCATTAATAATAATGTTTTTTAATATTCCATGCCTGATTTTTTTCAAAGAGATTTATTTATGTAATACAACACTCATTGGAAATTTATGGATTATGCACTATTCTTAATCCTATTTTACAAATGTATAAAAAGAAGGTACAAAGGTCAACTAACTGTCCAAGGTCATAGCACTATCTAAACATTTGTGTGCAAGTCTGTAGATTGTACAAAAGTCTGTAAATGATAATTGTCTTGGAATTTGTAAAGTTTGATAGACACTTTAGAAGGATAAAGATTGATAATATGCTTTAATTTGTTTGCTATTGTTAGTATTAAATACATGTAGAGAATGTAAATTTTTTAAAAGCTGAGAAAAAACAAAGCTAAATAAATAAATAAATGACTGTATGAGGACCCTCATCCCTGAAAATTTTATGTCTTATACATGGTACCATCATACCTAATTATTGCTTCTTGTTTGCAGTTTCAGAGATCTGTCTCACTATAATAGGTCTAATCCTACAGGAATACATGTAGAGGTTCCACCAATATTTCTATGAACTATTCACTCTAAGCATGCATTCTGATACTGGGAAAATGACCCCAGAGTGGTTCATGGACCCAGTGGACCCATTCTGAGCTGGGACTTCAGCCAGAATTTATTTTCAGGCCTTAGATACCCTCATGTTAAGGGGTCATGAGGAAGTTTTGGGTCTCTAAGTCAGCAGTCCTTAAAATATCTGGTCATTCCCCTTCCCCAGTGAACAGTGATCATAGTAAATGAGCCAGGGGTCCCTTTGGGAGCAGAATTAGAGAATCACTGCTGGGTGTACTTTTTATGGTGTGGCAGGATCCTCTGAGAATTCTGAATCTAAAAACTGGCTCAAGTCCAAAAACTGGGCAAGAGGTCAACATTTTTCATTAGCAAAGTTGCTATAAGCATTATACGTTCCTAAACTCCTTTGTTTTGCAGAGATGTGTAATGTCATTGTCAACTGTCCACGTATCTGTCCCCAGTATCCAGGCTTCTATTCACTATTCCCATAGCACTCTACAGGTAAGGACTCTGCTACTACAACCTTGTTACCCACGGTGATTATCCATCCCTAGGTGTGGCTCGTGCTGCAGTTACTGAAGGGCCATCCCCTAGTCGTTGTGATGTCTGCGTCTTATCATCTTTATCATCACTACTAAGAAACTCTTGTTTTACATTTTAATGTTTACTTACTTATTTTGTTTGAGTGTTGTGGGGAGTGGATGGATGAATGCTCATGTGTGGAGACATGTGACAACATGTGTATGTTGATCAGAGGACAACTTATTTGAGTCAGTTCTCTCCTTTCATGGGGGGTTTCAGGAATTGAACTTAGGTCATCAGGCTTAGTAGCAAGTACTTTTTCCTCCTGAGCTATCTCACCAGCCAATAAGGAACTATCTTTATAACAACACTCGAGAATGTACTTTGACCTACACGGGGAAGTCATGATACAATTCAATTCTTTCACCAGTCTATTTCCTGTAGTTTTGATAAGGTTAACTCTAGGTTTTCTAAATGAAAATGTTTGGGTGGATGGCTTTCTGTTTGTATATCCACTGTATCAGGGCTTAAATAGTTTTCCACTCATGGCCCCTTTTCACTTAAGAAATTCTTATGTGGCACCCCTCCCCATTATATAAGCATATTTATATGGATATCTGTATATGGATATTGAAAATCAAATATTTTCTATTAATAAACTATAAAGAAATTTACTTTAAAACAATTATTTGTACATATGTAATTTTAAAGATGAGAAGTCAGAGAGATGGCTCAGTAGTTAAGAGTGCTTATTGCTTTTCCAGAGGACCTCGGTTCAATTTCCAGCACCTATGAAGTACACATGCATAAATGAAGGTATAACACTCAAACATATGAAAATCTTTAAAAGAAAAAGATGAAACCAAATTTTCATACTTATGGACAGATGCACTTGTTTCCTTTATATAAAGAATAAGATCTTTATCAAGTGTGACCTTTAATGCCAACACGTGGAGGCAGAGGCATGCTGATCTCTGAGTTAGGGGTCATTCCAGTGTACACAGTGAGCTTACAGGCTCAGGGATGGTGATAGGAAAGTATCAAAAGTCTTTGTTCTCTTTTATTCATCATTATGTCCCGTAACTGCTGAAAACCCTGTGTATATGGAAAGGGGAAATGCAATTCAGAGCACACAGCAATCTCAGATCTCAGTGGAGATGTGTATTCAGTGTTCATTTGCCACGAAGGCATAGATAGACACTACCAAGTGTTCAGAACCAAGGCTTCAGCGAAGCCACACTACAGTACCCACAAACCCTGCCAGAAAGTACTTTGGTTTGTTCTGTGTTTGGTTTTGAGCTAATAATTTTGATACATTGCATTCACAAACCTTTTCACTGTTGCCAAACTTTTTTATGACTTGCCCATTCGATTACTGGATTCCCTTTTGCTTTGGGACCTCCATTTTAATAAGCTATGCACTGTCAGGTGTGATGGTACAAGCCTTTAACCCCAGCACACAGGAGGCAGGTCTCTTTGATTTGTAGGCCAGCCTGTAAGTTGTAGGACAGCCAGAGCTACATAAAGAGACCTTGTTATTTTTATTTAGATTAGAAACAAGCTTCTTTTACATGTCAACGGTTCTCTCTCCCTCCCCTGGTCCCTTTTCCCCCACCAAACCCCTATTCCATTCCTTTTCTGCTCCCCAGGAAGGGTGAGGCCTTCCATGGGGAATCTTCAAAGTCTGTCATATTATTTGAAGCAGGGCCTAGGCCCTCCCCCAGGTGTCTAGGCTGAGACAGTATCCCTCTATGTGGAATGGGCTCCCAAAGTCCATTCATATACTAGGGATAAATATTGATCCCCTACCAGAGGCCCCACAGATTAACAAAACCTCCAAACTGACTGATACCCAAGTTCAGGGAGTCTGGATCAGTCCTATGCTGGTTTCCCAGCCATCAGTCTGGGGTCCATGAGCTCCCCTTTGTTCAGGTCAACTGTTTCTGTGGGTTTCTCCAGACTAGTGACCTTGTTTTGACTTTTTAAAAAAGCCATAGGCTGTAGTAACCCATGTTTCTAGGTTTTGGGTCCCTTCCATTGTCATCTACCATGATCTGCCGTGATCTGCCAGGATCTGCCATGCACATTGACATGAGGTTTTCTTCCTCTTTCCCATTTTTCTTCCTCCCCTTCTTTATATTTCTTTTTTTTTTAGATGAGATCTTCCTATACAGCTAGGCTGACCTTGACCTTGACATTGAATTCACCAAGTGGCTCAAACTTGGAATCCTTCTGCCTCACCGTCTTTAGTAATGAGATTCAAGCATGTACCACCAGCAGCTCTCACTTCCTTCATACTTAAAATAGCCATCACAGCAACATGCTAACTACTAACTGCTCCCACTGGGGTCTTTGATAGAACAGTGTATACTTACCACACATTAGAGTTCCTGTGTCAGTACAGTTCCTCTGGTTTACCTCCTTTCCCTTGTTTTAGCACCTTTGGGGTCCAGTTTCCTTACACATTCACTTGGGCATCACGTGGGCATACTGGCTAGATCCGTTGTCTCCTAAGATCCAGATGAAATATATTATGAATTAATCCTCTGAAGAGTTATGGGTCTAATATCCAGGAGGCAAGATGGTAGTATATCTTGAGGGGAAAGCAAGGGACCTCTCCATTTCTTCAAGTAAGAAAAAGCATTGACTTCTAGAAAAGAGAAGTACTATATCAGACATCTTTGCCAACCATAGCCACTACTATCATCAATGCTCAGGGAACATCCTGAACAAGGAAGTGGAGGTAATGTAGGAGCCAGAGGATGAGGAAGAGTGTTGTGAAATTCTGTTTTCTAGACATGATGCAGCTATTGTACGGACGAGCTCACGGCAGCTTCAGTTACCTGCACAAAATCCCATCATGCATGGGAAGAGTCTCACCAGGGCCGCCCCTAACTGAGGAACTATTAAAAGCTGGTGGGTGGGAGGCAGACATGCGCAGGAAGATGCAGAAGTGGTTAGAGGTGAATGGAGGTAGAATTAATCATATTTCATTGCATACATACATAAAATTCTCAGATAATAAAAATAAAAGCAAGTGTGAGACAGATCTTCAGACTTGGGGAGCTCAGGGAAAACAGAGATTTGAGCTTTTGAACTTTGTTGACCCAGGGTCCTTCCCACTCAGAGAGAAGTCTTGGCAATCATAATTTAAAGTTAAAAATAAAGCCTCTGTAGAGATACTACAGTAAATAGTAAACCCTGACTCACATCCGTGGCTCTTTCACTCTCCAGCTACAGTGGGTGGCAGTCTCCCCTGTGCTCTCTACTGATGACTTCTGACTTTTATACTACATTTAGCCTTGTCTCCGGTTCCTGAATAGCTTGCTATCCAGGCACACCATTCTGTAGTCTTTTATTGTCATTTACTGCTACAGTCTCAAAACACCTGAGATATGGCATCTTGAGCACTATTCCTTTCTTTTGATATCCCATCACAAACAGACTGCATTACTAGGTATTAGCTCCTTACTAATCACAGGAGACAGACGGGTCTTCATTTGTACCACCCAGCGGAAACTTAACGATCACGTTCCATTTTAGAGCCTGCATCACAGGACCATGTCACCATGATCACCTGTTATAAGTTGGCTTTCCTATAACATAAACTGTTTCTAAAATGGGTAAATAGGTGGCTTATCAGAGCATATTCCAAGATACAACATGTAAAAGGAACAAAAGGACCAGAGCTGGTGAGAATAGTGCTGACTTATAATGTAGGTGCCACAGAGGCCTCAGACAGCTGCCTGTAGAACTCTGGAGCTGTGGAGACCCATCAGAAACATCTCACTGAGGCAGAGTTCACTCAGTAGATCCACACTGACCCTGGAAAAGGACTCCAACTTTGAGCAAGATATTTGTCTTTGGTTATAGGCAAATTCCATGTGAGTACATGACACTCAGCTATTGGGAAAGACATATCTACCTCTAGATAAAGGAGTGTCCATCCCAGTGAGAATCTGGGTAGCATACCACCCTATCTACTATAAGCATCAGGGTAAGGGGAGGGTCCACACAACAAATGAAAAGTAAACAACTGAGCTTTGTTAGCTCTCCGATGTTAAGCAAGGTAAGCTCAAATCATCGTTAAGCAGGGAGTGATTCCAGATCCCAAATGCCTCTAATTTCAGAAAGCAAGACCTGTAGTCAAAGACAGGAAACACTTTGAATAACACATTCTTGTCCATCCTTAATGCAGTGCACTCCTCTCTTCAGTCATCCAAGCTGGGCAAGTAAATCAGGAAGGCTAAAATCCCAGGGAAGTATCTAGAAGAAAAAAAATTCATTTTCATGTACAAATATTCATGTTGGCTATTTTCACACCTCTGTGCCGTTTGTGACACTTTTATTCATCCCAGGGAACTTCTCTGAGCACTGAGAGTATAATTTAAAAACAAAACTTATTTGAAATAAATCATGAAGCCTAAAATGTAAGGGAGAAAAATCAGTAACAATACCTACTGCCACACACCCTGCATTGAAATGAAGTCCTACCGCTCTGCAACGGACTCTTACCAATCAGTTCTGGGCTTCTTAAAACAATGAGAATAGGATGGTGATGCTGTCATTTGTATACCCTCACCCAGTTCTCTAATGGAAAGCGGCCTTCCTCTGCAGAGTCACTCCTGACAATGTTAATGACTCACTTTAAAGCAGTATCTAGGCTATGATTCGTGACATTCAGACTGGTTAGATGGGAGGGTTCGTCAGGCTTCTGGGGAGTGTCTTGGATGCAGAAATGCCTTGAAGACAGCACTTTATTATATTTAGGACAAGTATGACATCCCACTTCAAGGGAAAAGCTCCTATACATATTGAGAAGGGATTTCTGTGGTTTAAGTGGGGAGGAGAACTTGGTTGAAAAGAATGTCTCTGTGTTTTTCTTTTTTTTTTTTTTTGAGGTAATATAAAGATGGGAAGCAGAGAAGTGGAGGTAGGAGGCAGTAGGATTATGGGTAACGGAAGAATTCTGCCTGAGGGTATATGCCTGCTTTGCCTATTCCTGTATAACTAGAATATTTATAATTCAAATACTTATCTTTAATAATTAAAAACCAAGGAACATTAAAGACAAAAGGTAGAGAATATTATGTACACATGTGTAGGCGCCATGCATTAAATCCCCACCCTAGCAAAATACAGCAAGGGGTGGCTTTTACAGGAGGTTAAAAAGTGAATATTTTAAATGTCTTGAAAACAGAATTTCTAATTCACTCCCGTTCTGCCAGGAGTGATTCCTTGACTTCTGATTCCTACACACATCATCAGTCATAGAGCTAGGAACTAAAAATATCCAGCATGGTGGTTTGACATCGGCACATCAACAATTAAAAAGGATACAAATATTTCAGATTTTCAAAACCATAAGACACCCCCCAAGATTTATGGAAACATTAGGCTTGCTCGGGAGAAGGAAAAGTCATTTCCAATTGTTTTCACTGAATACTCTGTAGCATCGTCTATGTAAACCACTTCTCACAATGGAATGTAGTATTCTCCACATCCAGGAATGCTCTCTGATCTTCTGCCTCTTCTCAGACAGCGAAGACACAAAGAGAAACAGCCATTGCTGTGAATTGGAAAGAGTGTTTGAAAGGAAAAAGAGACCTCAACTGTGCCCCCTGGTATTCTAAAGCTGTCAATTATAACTGTGATTACAATGAAAATACTGAAATAAAAACATATTTATTGTGAAGAAGAGGTAACTGCATTTAAAACAAAAACAAAGGGAAATAATGACCAAAATAAGATGACGTGACTGAATTATTGAAATAATAACTATATGTATATAGTTATTTTATACATATACATGATAACCATATAGTTTTTCAACCTAACAATCAATGCTAATGGTGATGATTAAAAACAAAAACTTTAATGTGAAATAAAATAATAAACTAGCAGAGCTCAACTGTTTATGCTACAGAAAGCAGAATACTTAGCAACCAAAATATGAACAAATGAAGACTGATGATCCGGAGTCATTGTTTTTGAGAAATGTGATTTCCATGGCAGTGAATCTACACACGATAGTTTCAACTTGTGTCTAAAAGCAGAGGTGTTAATATTTACACCTTTGCTAATTACAGCAAGGAAGAGATTAATGAAGAATTAAATGTTCCTCTCATTTTACCTTCCCATCACACTGCATAATTCCTAGTAGAACATTAACCCAACCTGACAACAATATGCTGCAAATGGAGAAGTAAGAAGGGAGACACACAGACTCCTCTGTTCTTCAGTGAAGACTAACAGGATCACTGACACTCAGATGACTCGGTGATTACAGGCAGTGAAAAAAACAAAAGGTTATGTAAAGACTCATTTTACAAAGCTGCTCGGTTTTGTAACAGGAACTAGGTTTGGGTTGCTATAATGACCCCACAAGAATCATCTGTTGTGCAGCCAAGAAGCTATTTCTATGCTATTAAAAATGGACAGGTGTTATTGTTGACCAATAACACCATCATTTAACCCAATTTGCCAGGGATGGTGTCTGTGGGGTACCAGCTAGAAAATAAGAACCTGCTGACTATGTGGCTGGATGAAGGGAATAACAAAATTACCCTTCTGCGAATATGTCTTGTTAATTAAAAGGAGTTCTAATTTTGCAAATGCCATGGTTTGGATCTGGGATGTCCCCAAAGGTCAATGTGTAAACGGATTGGTCCACATCCTGTTGCACTGTTGGAAGCTGATAAATCCTTTCAGGGGTGGGGCTTAGTTGGGGGTTCCTATCATTGAAATATTAACAATGAAGTGCTGCCTCATCACAGTTGTTCAAACACAAGGCCAAGAACGTACTGCTACCTCCCAAACTGGGAGCCAAAGGCAGACCTTTCGAGGAATGATGATTGAGGCAACAAGGATGCTGTATATTGTATTGTCTAAAGATGGGATATTTAAAAGAACAAGCTACTCTCCATGTTCAGATTCCTGGCATATCTGGAGAGTTTGAATCCCAGCAATTGCCATTGTCATATAATACTTTTCTTGTCTTGAAGGGAAAGTGTGAGCTCACAGAGAGGGGCCCTTATCTACATCCACTCTTGCTGTTTGTCTTATATCCTTATTAGCTTTCAACAAAGGGCAATCATAATTAAATTCTAAAGCAGTGGATGAAGTCACCCACACCATCATCTGACTAGCTGCAGATGATGACGGTGCCAATGACAATGTAACCCTGCTTTTCTTTGATTCTGGCTCGACAGCATTAACTCCCTGACCCCCTGCAGCTGTCAGTGCCACAGGCTGCTTAAGTGCTGTGCAAAAGCATTTCTGTTTTATTTGTTCTAAATTTACTGGCTATTAATTTCACAGTGTGACCTCCTAGTCTCTCATTAGTTGGCAAATTTCACTGTAGCCTTCAAAAAGCTAAAGATTCCCCTAAGTCCTTTCCTTTCTCCATGGCTATCTGGCCACCTTCCATAGCATATGGAAACCTCCTGCTTTTAAATGTCCATAGTACCCTTTTCTGAAATTCCCGTTACATGCATTTTGGGTACACTTATAAATGTATTCCATTCTTGAAATTTAATAATGGCTTATGTTCTTTATCCTCTTCCTCATTTTCTGAAAAATTGTAAGGGGAACAACTTATATTGTATAATGAATAGTTTTCACAGTATCGAGGAATTTAAAGCTCTTATTGGTGTTGTTCTCATTTATACAAATGAAGGAACAAGGAATGACTTCCACTGTCTTAAGGTAGCAGGTAAATTCCCTGAGCTTGAGTGTCATTGTCATCTCCTCTAGATATCTATCAAGGTCATGAACCTCCCATTCCTGGCCTAAATTTTAGATTTCAGACGAAAAATAGTTCATTTGTTGTTGTTCTGGTCAATACCAGAAATAATAACATTTTTCTGCTTGTGAATGAATGTCTGACTCTTTATGTGGACTCAAGGCCACAAGGATTTTGTGGTATCTTTTATGAGCAGCTGTATCCACCTATCTTACAGAAATATTATCTTTGCTCCAGTTAGGAGCTTGAAGGCATCATCCCTAGGTACTGTAAGCCCGATCTTAAGGAAAGAGCCACCATTACAGATAGTGTTTCAAAAACTCCTGTGGCATTTACCTCACTGCACTCGGTCCATAAAATCCACAGTGGATCTGTAGCAATGATAAACACTGAGAACAAGATAAAAGCTTGTAGGAATGAGTGACAGTGTCTCAAAATCAGCTATACAAAATTTTTTATTTAATAGAAGCACTCAGGCAAAGACAGGTGGATCTCTGTGAGTTCAAGGCCAGCCAGATCTATATAGTAAGTTACAAGATATCCAGGGCCCTCTACAAGAATACCAAGCAATCTTAAGCACTGAGTCATCTCTCCAGTCCCCATTTTTTATTCTTTGATCTAGGTTTTGCTTTTATATTGAGGATTACACTCTGAGCATTGTAACTTTACACTCAATGAATTGCAATAGCACAAATGTGCCATCTTTTCTTTTTCACAAATAAATCAGGAAAACTATTTAATAAAGATTGTTACAAGCAACTCCCTCCAGGTCCTAAGACTCCTTTTGCAAACAAATCAAAATAGATACATTGGGGATATTATGTCACATTAGAAATTATTCTCAAATTGACTGATGGGCTAGAAATAATAAGTATCTATTAACAATGCATCATTAAATTGGGGACAGTAAGGTTCTATACATTAAAGACTAGGCATGGGGCTAAATGAAACACTCATACTCATGCCCTGATGGAGAAAGTAAATAACTGTGAGCCTTCTAAAAGAGGAAGAACACTACACGATGGAAGATCTTAGGTGGAAAATTTAAATGGAATGAGATTTAATTTAGATAAATCTATAATCATTTGCTCATGAGAAAGCAACTCCTATGAAGTAATAGCAAACAAAATTCTGCAGAGAGGTCAGAAAAGAACTGAGTGCTGTGGCTGATGTTTACTGAACACTGATGAACACATTACAGGTGGAAATACTCTTGAGTTTAGTCTTTTCTATTGTTTCATATTCACCAGTTTACTGAAAACATGTGTCTGTCTAGTGTCTGCATCTATGACTTCCTATAAGCCTTTAGTTGGTGCCTGGGTTTTAGATCTGGAATCTTCTGAAGACTGATGAAATAAGGTCTCTCAAAATCCAAACAAGCTCACTACCCATACTCCCCTCTACTTCAAATGGCAACAAAAAGCAGTAAATAAGACTCTGGCTTCAGCTCTAGCAATGTCAATCTCAAATAAACAGCAGAGGCAAGACTGTAAATGTGGAAATCGATGATGATTCTTAGCTT